ATGTTCTCCCCAACCTTTGCGCAGGGCATGATGCTGGCCGAGCTCAACGCTTCGCGCGCACGCGAGCAGAGTGATCGGGAGAGTCAGGCCAGGTTCTTGGGCTTCATGGGCGTCCCCAAGTGATTAGCTCATAGCACTGCTGGCATGACACGCATAGTGGGTTGCGAGCCAGGTGCGAGCGGCATGGGAGCAGGCGCACATCGCTTCCAGGGAGGGGGGCGCACTTCTCTCCGCGCCCCACCCCCCCCCTAGCATGTGGTGAAGCCTCTGGGGGGGTCGGGACCCCCCCCCCCCAGCATGTGGTGAAGCCTCTGGGGGGGGTCGGACCCCCCCTAGCATGTGGTGGGCACCCCCCAGAGTTCGTGGGCTAGGATAGCCGCCAAAGAGCCGATTTTGCCCCCAAAGTTGTGAAATCGTGGCTGAAAGTCCAATATCTTGGAGAATCTGACCAGGCTCAAGACTCATGTAGCTCAACAGGATGATTTTCTTCGAAAAAGGCTGCGAAATGAGGTGCAAAATCAAGGGCCCGGAGGGTCTGACCACGAGTCTCTGGGGGGGTCCTCGGCCATGACCCCCCCCCTAGCATGTGGTGAAGGTGCTGGGGGGGTCGGGACCCCCCCCCTAGCATGTGGTGAAGCCTCTGGTGGGGGGGGTCGGACCCCCCCCGTAGCATGTGGTGTGAGTAGAAGGGCGCCCCCCTCCCTGGAAGCGATGTCCGCCTGCTCCGTCGGCAGCGGGCGACCCGGCCACCCAAAAGCGGAGGTACATCAGGAGCCGCAGCCGGCTTGCTCTATCAACCCCGCAGCCGCGGTGGCGCGACCGGACCGCGGTTCGCTCCAGGCGCCTTTGCGACTGTTGTACGTCGCGGGTTTGACGCATGGGGTCACTCCCGCGAAACCCGGGAACTAGCCGGGGCAGTCGGAGAAGGGGTAACTCCGTGCACTGACGGTCGGCCGTCAGAAACCACGCCTGCGTGGATCGCGTCACACCAATCCTCGCTACCCAACGCGGCCAAAGGATATCCACCTATAAATAAATAGAGCAGTCATCTCCAGGGAGAGATGGGCGACGCACACGAACACAGAGGGACAGTGCGCACCCCGCCCCGCTCGCAGGGCGTGCATCACACAGGCGTGGACTGTGTGACTCCTCGGGTTTCTGGGACTCAGAGGTGTGCTAGTCGCTATTCTCCGACAATTCCGACATGTCTGACGGGCAGTTCGGGCTCGAGCGGTCGCGGTCGCGGCCAGCGCGTGACCGTGAGGCCTGCCTGGCTAGGGTTGCCGGGCGAGAGCTCGACCCACGCGCCGGAGCGCGCGTGGTGCTTGAGCAGCCGGGCGGTCGCCGCAGCCACCTCGAAGATAAATACAAGGGCCTCCCAAGCTAGGGCTGGGTCGAGGACAGACACGTCCCCACCTTTGCAGGATTTTGCAAAAGCGAGGGGGGAGGGCGCATCGCCGCGCGGAGAGGGCTGGGCACAGGGCACAGGGGATCTCTCTCGCATAGGATATGCACTCGGCGGCACGAGGGCAAGGCTGGGCGTCCTATGTTTGTGCTCCCCCCCGGACCCCTCGCTCTCGGGCACTAACCATCTGACCACTCATCGACGGGGCTTGGCGAGCGGCCGCGCTGCGGGGCAGGGCTGGTCCTGCGCTCCACCTCGAGAAGCACCCACATTCTTTCGAGCAGCGTCGGTGTCGCGGAAGTGGCTTTCACGCCGGCATGGTGCTCGTTGCACTCTCGGCTTTGCTGATCTCGGCCGATGCCCTGACCGTGGCGGTCACTGGACGCACGGGCTTGAGCTTGATCGGCCAACTCCGGGAGCAGCAGGTCGCGCCCTCGCAGCAGCTGCAGCTCCACGCGGTGGCGCGGGACGAGGATGCCTCGCGCTTACGCCTCGATCTGCACGGCGCTTTCCTGCGCAACGGGACCAGCCGCCAGCCCCTCGTCCCGGCAGCCGCGCGCGCCTCGGTCTCGATGCCGGCGGCGAGGGCGAGGGCTTCGGTCGTGATGTCTGTGGCGGCCGCGGACCTCCGCGTCGCGTCCCGCGTGGCCGCGCTGCCGCTGGACAGGCGAGCGTCGCGGCGCGGAGGGCGGCTGCCGTGCAGAAGGCGACACCTCCCCCCCTCCCCTGCCGAGCAGGCGTCTGCAGCTGCTGAAGGCGAGCCTCATCGCCTTTGTGTCGGTGAGCGTCCTCTCGGACGCCAGCGGCACCGCGACCCTCGCGCGCATCCGCAAGGCGAGGGATGCGGTCCGCTGCTGCGAGCGGCGGGAGGCGCCCGGCGCGCCCCCCCGTCCCGACGCGCAGCGGTGCACGGAGCACATCCCCGCCCCGCTGCTGCACGAGGCGCTGTCGCTCGGCCGCACCTCGCCTGCCGACCCAGACTCGGTCCTCTGCTTTGGCGACCGCACCGCGCGCCTCGTCCGGCGGACCGCCTCCGACTCGGCGTGCGCGGTGCGGCGTGCGCTCGAGAGGGGCGACGGCTGGGGGGCGGCGATGCTCCTCGAGGCGCGGGGGGCGCTGCTGCGCGACGCCGCCGACCTGCACGCGTGGCTCGCGGCGAACGCGTGGCACCAGGCCGCCGCGCCCAAGCTCAGGCCGCACCACCACACCAGCTTGCGGGCGGCGGAGCGGCGGCCGGCGCGGCCCGCGGCGGCCGCCCGCAAGCCGGCGCGCGCGGCTGTCGCCAAGGCGGCCCGCCGCGCCGCGCCGGTGGTGATGATGTCTCCGCCCGAGGAGGTCGAGTGCGACGTGGTGATCGTGGGCGGCGGGCCGGCGGGCTGCACGTGCGCGCTCTACACGTCGCGCGCGAACCTCAAGACGGTGATGCTCGACAAGAACCCCGCCGCGGGCGCGCTCGCCATCACGTCGCACATCGCAAACTACCCGGGCGTCGAGGACACGCAGATGAGCGGCGCCGCGCTGCTCGAGCGGATGCGCGACCAAGCCATTGAGTACGGCACAGTCGCTCGCCGTGCGCAGGAGCTCGCCTCCGGTCTCCCCGCCTCCGCTTCTCCCTGCACTGGCTCCGCGCCCTCCCCCCACACACCTCGAAGCCCCCCCCCGCCCAACAGCCCCCCCCCCCCCCCCCCCCAGCCCGCCCGCTCCCTCCCGGCCGCAGGTCTTCCTCGTCGAGGCGGACGGAGACTCCAAGACAGTCTACACGCCCGACCTGACCGTCAAGGCGAGGGCGCTCGTCCTCGCCACCGGCGCCATGGGGCGGCCTCCCTCCTTCAAGGGAGAGGACGTCTACCTCGGCCGGGGGGCGCGCCGCTCCCCCCCTCCGCCCCCCCTCCGCCTCCCCTCCGCCTCCCCTCCGCCTCCCCTCCGCCTCCCCTCCGTACACGCGCCGCAGTGCGGCGGCCCACCCCCTCGCGGTCGGCGCCAGGTGAGCTACTGCGCGACGTGCGACGGCGCCTTTTACCAGGACCGCGAGGTCGCAGTCGTGGGCGTCAACGCGGAGGCGGTGGAGGAGGCCCAGTTCCTCACCAAGTTCGCCTCGACGGTGCACTGGGTGACCGCCGTCGACCCGAAGCCGGACGACGCGCACGCGCAGACTCTGCTGGCGCCGCCCGCCCGCCCGCCCGCCCGCCCGCCGCTCCTCGCCCACGCAGCACACAGCCCTCCTGTCCCACCCACCCACATGCACGAGCACGCGCGGCCACCCCCGCCCCGGCGCGAGCAGGCGGAGCCGAACGTCAAGCACTGGAGCCAGACCCGGATGACAACCATCGAGGGGGACGACTCGGGTGCTCGACACCGCCCCCCGCCTCCCCGCCACCAGACACGCCCCGCACGTCCGCCCCGCTCGCCTTCGCCAGGCGTGACGGGCGCGCTCCTCCACCCGAAGAAGGGCGACGGCGAGCCAATCAGCCTGCCGGTCGAGGGCGTCTTCATCTACGTCGCCGGCTCCAAGCCAATCACCGACTTCCTCGACGGGCAGGCGGTCGAGCTCAACCCGGACGGAGGCGTCAAGGTGGACGAGGAGATGGCGACCAACGTCCCGGGCGTCTACGCCATCGGCGACATCCGGAACACGCCGTACAAGCAGGTGGTCGTCGCGGCCTCCGACGGCTGCATCGCCGCGATGTCGATCGATCGCTTCCTGAAGGGGCGCAAAACGATCAAGGTGGACTGGATTCACAAGTGATCCTTTCCTGCAGATCGGACACCCGCTCTCCTGCCCCTCGACCCGGGCTCGGCTCCGCTGGTACGCATTGGTGCCGCCGATCTTTAGTGGAGCTGTCGAACGCCAACCCGAGCCGGACTCGAGTCAGTACTATCCTCGTCTCGCTCTGTGGCGCGCGGTCGTAATCGTGTGCGCCGCTCTGTGTGTGAACCAAACGCGTCATGAACTCATGTGTTCCAGTCGTGTTCGGACGAATATTTTTGACAGGAGGGGATGATCGTATTTCCCGCCCTCTTGCACATATCTCATATGTTGTACGGTAAAAATACCGTATTTTGATAAACGGGGACATGCGCACACGGGGGGAGCGTATGTAGACCTGTAGGTCAGCCTGTACGTAGAGAGTAGAGTATATAAAGAACGAAAAAATAATACCCGGTGAGCGGTGTAATTGTAACGGCTTTGGCTTTACGTGTACCTGTACGCGACGCGGTCGTTTGCTCGTGGACTTCGCGAGGGCCAAGCGCTGTGGCGCCCGCCCCGCCGCGACGCCCTGGCTCAACTACAATTAGCGAGGGCGGCGGCAACCTCGGCGTGGATAGCGTGCCGACTGGCCAGCTCGTCCATGTCCGTGGAGTAGCCACCGCCGATGACCGTCGCCACTGGCACGCCTCGAGAGAGGCACTCGTCCATGACAAAGAAGTCGCGCTTGCGCAGCCCGGCGTCCGTCAGCGAGAGATGCCCGCGGCAAAAGGTCCGCACCGCGTCCGCGCCGTGGCAGTCGACGCCTATGCACCAGCAGGGGCGAAGGGTGATCGCGCCCTCTGGCTCGACCCGACGCACTTTCGGCGCAAGCGCTGCCCGCATCGTACAGCACCAGGTCGGGCCGGTGCTCGTCCAGAAGCGGTGGCAGGTGCTCTCGCAGCAAGCGCAGGTACTCCTCGTCGCCCGTCCCGTTGGGGAGCCCGACGTCCACCGTCGAGCGCTGCTTGCGGACCGGGAAGGCGCGCGCGGCGTGCATCGAGAAGGTCGCCGCCCGAGGCTCCTCGCTCAAGATGGCGGCGGTGCCGTCGCCCTGGTGCACGTCCAGGTCTACCACCAGCACTCGCCGCGCCGCTCCCTCGGCGAGCAGCGCCAGGCTCGCGACGGCCAGGTCGTTGAAGGGGTTGAAGCCGCTGCCCGCTGCGCGCTGCGCGTGGTGCGTCCCGCCGCCCAGGTTGCACGCGATCCCGGTGGAGAGGGCAAGCCGCGCCGCCAGCAGCGTGCCGGCAACCTCGAGCCGCACCGCGCGAACCATCGCAGGGCTCCACGGCAGGCCGATTCGCCGCATCGCGTTCGGCGCGAGCGTACCGTCGCAGTAGCCAGCCACGTACTCGGCAGAGTGAGCGCGGTGGAGCCACTCGTTGCCCGCTGGATCGGCCGGCTCGCACACCTCTGACGGCGAGAGGACGCCGCGCTGGACGAGCCGGTCAAAGAGACGCGGGTACTTCTCCATGGCGAATCGGTGGCCGCTGTCCCAGCCGTCGAGCACCGCATACTCCCTGCTGTACACCCACGCCACCTCTGCCGAAGAGGCTGTGTGGAGCTGCGATTTGTGGGTGCGACCCTGCCTCGCCGCACGTGACACCGACCGCGCCACTCCTCGCCTGAGGAGCGGCATCGGCGCCAGCTAGCTCCAGTGGCGATGCGCGGCAACTCGGCCTTGTATGATGCGCGGCAACTCGGCCCCCGGGGCCTTGTACGCGCGAACCTTCACGTAAACGCACAACCCCGGGCTTCGCAGCTTGTATGAGAAGAAAATACTCTGCAACACCGTGACGTGCTCGCCCCGGCAGCCTTCTCGACGAGAGTGGGCGCAATCACCGACAAGTAGAGCCCGTGCCTGCGCTCTGTATCGCCGTCACGAACATCGCCGACACCATCTTCGTGTGTGGTGGAGTCCATCAGGGGACAGGGCGCATGTGCCATGTCGAGCCATCCAGCGGCGCCGAACTGGGAGAAATACTCAGCGGAGACTCGCGTACGTGTACCTATATTTTTCTGGGTCTCAACCGCCCAAACGCAGTGAGCCCTCCTCCCCGTCCATGCCCCGCTTTCCCTCCCGCCCGTCGGCGCACCCTGCCGCTTGCGCGCGGGCGCAAAGCGACGGCACGCGCCACGAGAACGGGACAAAGTAGCAAAAGGCGACGATGCCTCCCGCCCACTCCAGCGCCGCCGTGCGACCCACGCCCATCCCAAACTTCCCGCCTTCGTGGCCCCAGTCAAACCCGTAGCCCGTGAAGCAGAGTCCCGCGAGGAGCGGCGTCAGCCCTCCGAGCAGACGGACGCGATCGCGATGGAAGAGGAGGAAGCACGCGTACGCATCGAGGCACTCGGCGAGGCAGCAGCAGCCAAAGGCGAAGAAGGCGAAACAGTTGTGGAGAGGGAGGGTGGGCCGCCCTGACCATGTGCCGGCGGCCACGTCGACCCAGCAGCACGGCAAGGCAGCAGCGGCAACGAGCGCCGCTCCACCGGTGCAGAAGAAGAGCACGCTCCGGCGGAACGCCCGCTCGACGGCAGCCGTGCGGGGACTCGCGAGGGTCAGCAGGAGGGCGGCACGGAGGCCCACGAGCGCAGCGATCTGGATCAAGCAGAGGGCTGCGCCGCCGATAAACAGGGTGAGCGAAGCCTCGCTCGCGGCGGCGTAGACGGAGATCTGCTGCAGTCGACCAGGCATGCGAGAGCGGTATGCGGCGGCCGCCGTGGCCGTGACAAAGGTGGCCGGCGTGCTGCACGGAAGGAGCTGGAGGAGGATGCGGCACCAGCGGCCGGTGGCGAGGGCGGCGGCGCGCCGCTCGGCTGAGGCGAGGGCGCGCTCGGTCCGCATACACACATACAGTTGAGTCGATGCACGATGGGGTAGGCGAACACACTGTGTCGATGAAGTCGAATAACGGCCGCGCGCGTGGAGGCACTGACTTTGGGAATCCGGTTTTTTTCTTTTTACCGAAGCAGTTTCTTTTAAATTCTTTCTCGAACTCTGTTGATGAGGGGCCCCCGCGCGCGGGAGGCTGGAAAGGCGGTCTTTTTAAATTCTTTCTCGAACTGTCGACGGAAAAGGAGATTTTGCTCGCGTGCGTGGTGGTGGTACTGAGCCATCCCACACAAAAACAAAAGAATCCCACACAGGGATTTCACGGAAAGGAAGGAGTGTGTTGGCTGTTGCTAGCCGCCCCCCCTGTTTGCCCATCCATCCATCCATGCTTTCCATGGCCGGTCTGCCTCGCCCCCTCCGCCCCTCGCCCTATCTGCTATTCTCTCGTCGCAGTCTCTCGCCGATCCTCGCAACAACCTTCAATCCTTCATGCCACTCGCGGTCGTCCCACTCTCGTCGTTCTCTCTCCTGCCCCGTCGGGTCCTCTCTCCTCTGCCTCATCATGTGGCTCATTCGCTCTCCTTCTGGTACCGGTAACTCTGTGGCCTCGTTCTACGGCGGCGCCAGCGCCTGCCGAGCCCTTGTTCCTTGCTCTCGCGGCTTCTCTCATCTTTCGGCGTAACTCCGCTCTCCTTGCAGCGGTTATCTCGGGTCCTCCAGATTGCCGAACAAAGACAAAAGATTCTCTCTCATCCCAGTTTGTTGAGCTCAGACTCCAACAAAAAAACAAAACTCTCAGACTCTCCTCTTCTCTCCAGGACACGCAAGAACCATCCTTCTGACTCCCACTCCGATCATGTCACATGTGCATGTGCATGTGCCGCCAATACGGTGTCTCGTTTAAAAAGGTCCATCCATCCATCCACTCTGGACTCTCGTTTCATTTGGAGCACTTTGATTCAAAGACTTTGTGTACCTCCAGCCACGCACCGGTCCTCGGTCGGTGTGTTGGCGCTGAGGTTCCCTACTTCGGGTACATCGATCATCGACATCGTGGACAGCTGACGACACAAACATCTCTCTCTCTCTCTCTCTCTCTCTCTCTCTCTCTCTCTCTCTCTCTCTCTCTCTCTCTCTCTGACGACGGGATTGCTACTGGCGTGTCGTCCGCATCGGACGGATTTGTCTTCTCTGATAGACTCCTTCCTTCCGAGTTCCGTTCGGCCGGCGTGGCTCACTCACCCTCCATGCCGTGAACAGGCGTCCTCAGGTATCCATCCTATATTCTTCACTCGCTCCTCTGCCCATAAAAGAAAGAAGACAGTCAGCCCAAGGGAGGAAAAAAGAAAGAAAACAGACAACCCAAACGAGGGATAGGGGAGGAGGACAGGGTCCCCACCCTGCACGAGCATTTTTTTGGCTAGGATTTTGGAGAAGGACGATCAGGGGCACAGGTGGGGCTCTCCTGCTCCTGACAAGGGACACGACAGGCTCGCAGCGCGGGGCACGGTGGACTCCCAACTCCACTGGCGGTCTCATCTCAGTCCTAGCGACCTCACCTGCCTCTCCAGCTTCTCACTGGCCAGTCTCTCGCAACCACAGGCACACTGACAGGGGTGGCAGGGGCGGCGGCAGGAGTCTCCCACATACCATGCGGGCCTCGCTAGAGGTGCGTCCTGTGTGTGTCCTCGTCCTTGAGGTCTTGAGGGGGGAAGGGAAGCGGCTGTGTGTCTGTGCATGCATGGCATGCATGCATTGTGAGATGTGTGTGTGTGTGTGTGTGTGTGTGTGTGTGTGTGTGTGTGTGTGTGTGTGTGTGTGTGTGTGTGTGTGTGTGTGTGTGTGTGTGTGTGTGTGTGCGTGCGTGCGTGCGTGCGTGTGCGTGCGTGCGTGTAAAGAAAGAAAGAAAGAAGACACACAAACCCAAACAAACGAGGGATGGGGGAGGATCCACACCTGCACGAGCAGGATTTTGGAAGGACGATCAGGGGCACAGGTGGGGCTCTCCTGCTCCTGACAAGGGACACGACAGGCTCGCAGCGCGGGGCACGGTGGTGACCATCGTGTCATCTTTTGTGCATTCATCCAGAAATGCTGGGCCTCTTCACCGCGGCCTCTTCTTCCTTCGCGGGCGAGGCTCGCTTCTCCGCTCGCGGTGCTGCGTGGTCGCCGCGTTCTCCGTCCCTGAGCCTGACGGGCGTCATCCCCGACATTGCTACAGTTCCCGAGGGAGGTGCATGCCCGCCCAGCCCGCCGTCGTCTCGCTGCGGCTCGCGCCTGTGACACGCTCCATCGCCCCGCTGCAGTCCTCTCGCGCACGACGAGCGGCCGGCCGCTCGTCGATCAGCGCCCGCGGCCGCGGCGCAACCGCAAGAGCGCCGCCGTCCGGCGGATGGTGCGCGAGACGTCGCTGACGCCGGCCAATTTTGTGTATCCGCTCTTCATCCACGACGTGGCGGAGAACGCGGAGATCGCGTCGATGCCGGGCTGCGAGCGGCACTCGCTCCCATCGATGCTCGCCGAGGCGCAGGACGCGTGGCAGTACGGCGTCCGCTCCTTCATCCTCTTCCCGAAGGTTGAGGACGAGCTCAAGTCGAACCGCGGCGAGGAGTCGTACAACCCGGAGGGGATCGTGCCGCGCGCGGTGCGGATGATCAAGGAGGCGCTGCCCGAGTCGATCGTCTTCACCGACATCGCGCTCGACCCGTACTCCTCCATGGGCCACGACGGCATCGTCGAGGACGGAAAGATCCTCAACGACGACACCATCGAGCAGCTCTGCAAGCAGGCCCTCTGCCACGCGCGCGCCGGTGAGGCACGGAGCCGAGATAGAGCCGAGAGGCGGCCGAGATGCAGCCGACGTGCGCAGCCGAGATGCGAAGGCTGCGCACACCGCGACGGAGATAATCTGGCCTGCCGCCGCCGCCGCCGCCGCCGCCTCCGCCGCCGCCGCCTCCTCCGCCTCCGCTGCCGTCCCTCCCACCTCTGCGCTGCCCCCTGTCGCAGGATCCGATTGCGTCGCGCCGTCCGACATGATGGACGGCCGCGTCGGCGCCATCCGCGACGCCCTCGACGCCGAGGGCTTCACCGACGTCTCCATCCTCGCGTACACGGCAAAGTGAGTGACGCTGCACCGGCGCGCGGCAGCCCCTCGCGCGCACTTCTGAGCCGCCTCCTCGCGCGTCGTCAGGTACGCCTCTGCCTACTACGGCCCCTTCCGCGACGCGCTCGACTCGCACCCCGGCTTCGGCGACAAGAAGACGTACCAGCAGGACCCTGCCAACGGGCGGGAGGCGAGCGCCGGAAGGGTCCCCTGGGCGGGGAGGGGGCTTGGCCGAGGCTGGCTCGGAGCCCGCGTGTAGGCGTACATCGAGGCCGAGCTCGACGAGGCCGAGGGGGCGGACATCCTCCTCGTCAAGCCAGGCCCGCCCCAAACCCTAGCCGAGACCACCTCGTCACGGTCGGGTGCGAGAGAGGCGGCGGAGGAGGAGGCGGAGAGGCAGAGAGGCGGCAGAGGAGAGGAAGAGACGTGGCCGAGCGCCCGCCTGCCCACGCCCCCCCTCCCCACAGCACGACCCGGCCCCCCGTCCCGACCCCACCAGGCCTGCCCTACCTCGACGTGGCCCACCGGCTCCGCCAGTCGACCAGCCTGCCCGTCGCAGCCTACCACGTCTCGGGTGGACCTCGCCCGGGCCTCGCCCCCCCCCCCCCACTCCCTCCCCTCGCGCCGCTCCAGACCCCCCCCCCCTGAATCCTCCCCCGCAGGCGAGTACTCGATGCTCAAGGCGGCGGCCGAGCGCGGCTGGCTCGACGAGCGCAAGGTCGCGCTCGAGACGCTGCTCTGCTTCCGCCGCGCGGGCGCTGACATCATCCTCACGTACTACGCGAAGCAGGCGAGCAAGTGGCTTATGGAGGAGCCGGACCTCTAAGAGAGAGGTCGGGCTGCAGGATACTCGCGAGGGTATGGGGGTCGCTCGCTCTCGCCAACATGGTTTGCCACACGCTGACACGCACGCACCGTCGGGTATGGGTCGACGGGTATATTTGGGCGCCGGCCCGGCGGGGAGGGCACCTACGCGAGAGCGCGCGGCGTGGGGTTGCTGTTGGTTGTGTGTGTAAATTGCGCGAAAAAGCCGGAAAATAATGCCATATCCGCCCCCCCCCGCGCGCTGCCGACGTGCGAGGATCGAGGAAGGAGAGGGATCATCAGTCAAACATCAGAGACATCCGCACGGTTTCACGCAGCCTGAGATGTGAGAAACCTTATACCATTCCACCACCTCACACACACCCCTCCCCTAGGGCTAAGCAGTGCGCGAGCCCACCCGACTTCAGGCGAGACGTCGACCACTCCTCGGGAATAAGTTCTGTCAGTGGCTGCACTAGACGCCCATAGAGGCGCGCGGCGGATGACTAGGGGGAAAAAAGCGGAGATCCTAGAGCTCGCGGGAGGCGCGCAGACCGGCGCGGCGGACGCGGCCGCGGCGGCGGCGGCGGCGAGGTCAAGAGCACCAAGAAGGACTGGGCGAGTATCGCTCGCGGAGCCGCCCGCTCCCCCTACGACGGCGGTCCACGCCTCGAGTCCAACGAGCCCTCGCTCTACGAGGGGAGCGACGAGGAGTACTAGGAGCGGCCGCCGAGCCCTTCCCGCAGCGCAACCCTAGCAGCGCAGCGGGCAGGGCGGCTCGCGCAGCGCGCGCGATCGCGCAAGCGGCGCGCGCGAGCGAGCGAGCGAGCACACACACACACACACACACACACACACACACACACACACACACACACACACACACACACACACACACACACACACACACACACACACACACACACACACACACACACACACACACACGCACGCACGCACGCACGCACGCACGCACGCACGCACGCACGCACGCACGCACGCACGCACGCACGCACGCATGCATACGTCCCCCAGCTCCCCAGAAATCCCGAGGAGCCGTGCAGTGCCTAGATAAGTCTGTGTGCTGTGTGGTGCACGCCCTCCGAGCGGGGCGGGGTCTGCCCGTCGGGTTGCTGCCCTAATCCCACCAGGGGTTGACTGCTCTATTTATTTATGGGAGATGCGCGCACAACCCCCCCTAACGGTTGGGAATAGGGGAGAAGTGTCAGTGTGAGGGGAGGGCGTACGCCGGCGTTTTTGCCTTTGAAAACTGAACAGTTTTTCAATCATCGGACATCGCACAGCGCCCTCGTTAACGTATAACGTTATTAGTACATAGTAGATAGTAAACGCCACATCGTGCACCACACACGTGTGCTTCCAGAGGGATCTCTTCTCACTCTTCTGGGCCTAAAATGAGCGTGAGCTGCCGGACGACTCGCTCACAGCTGGTACGACCGCTTCTCATAGCTGACCCCGGTGCACGGCTCCCTCACCAGCCCCTCCGCCTCGAGCGGCTCTGTGCGCGACTGGAAGCGCATGATGATTACCCGCCTCGGCCGGCTCGACCGGTTCGGCCCCGAGCAGTGCGGCAGCAGCGGGTGGTGCAGCGACAAACCGCCCGCGGGCATCTCGTACGCGACTGGCGCCGGTGCCGCCGGATCAGCCCGCCCGCCCGCCGCCGCCGTCGGTGCCCGCCGCCGCCGTCGCGACTTGCGCACCGCCCACGGCCGGCGCTGCGCCTGCGAGACGTCGACCTCGTACAGCGAGTACTTGTGGTAGAAGCGGAAGGTTGCGACGTCGGAGGCGGTGCGCAGCCGGCGGAAGGGGGCGCGGCCGGCGGCGTGCCTGCCAGGGAGCACCATCAGCCCGCCGCTCCCCTCGTCCACATCGTCGAGCGGCAGCCAGACCGTGCGGCACCGCCCGTCGCCGTCCACGTGCCACGGGACCGCCTCGCCGCCGCCGTCGCACGCGGGGGGCTTGAACGCGAGTTGGGTCGAGAAGAGGACGACGTCGGGGCCGACGTGCCTCCGGAGCATGTCGAGGAGGGCCGGCTGCGTCGCCAGCTCCCACATCCAGTTGCAGCCTCCGTGCGCGCCGCACACCCCCTCTGCGGCCTCGTGCAGCCCAAGGAGCCACTCGGGGTGGACGGCGTCGCTGCGGTGGGCGAGGGTGAAGTCGAACGCGGCGCGCAAGTAGTCGAGCGCCGGCCGGGAGAGGAAGCGAGGCAGGCACAGGAAGCCCTGCGCGTCGAAGGCCGCCTGGTGCGCCTCCGTCCAGCTGAAGCCGCGCGCCAGCCACTCCGCCGGCGGCGAGAGGGGAAAGGGAGGCGCGTCGACTGCGCAGTAGATGCAGCGTGGGAAGGGCGTCGGGCGGCCGCGGCAGAGCCAAGGCACCGCCATCGCGCCGCTGCCACCAGCGCCGCCGCCGCCGTCGGCCAGCCCGCGGATGTGGCTCATCTCGTGCGCCTGAAGCCCGCGCCGGTCGCAGTGCAGAGTCTCGCAGACGGCGCTCGCGCCGCGAATGTGCTCGAGGCAGTCGTCGACCAGCAGCGTCTCCTCCTTGCGCCAGCCGTGGGGTGCGAGGAGGCCACCGATTAGCGCGCCTTTGACTCCGGCGACGGCCACGCTCTCAGGACACTCGCGGCCGTAGACGCGCTCAAAAAACGGCAGCAGGCCAACGGTGGCGAGATGGGGCACGATGGCTTCGCGAACGCCGCACGACACCACGTACAGTTTGACGCTTCTGGCCTCGAGGGCGCGCAGCAGCGACGACAGCTTCTCGAGCCGCTCCGCGCCGCCAAAGTTGGAGAGCACCTCAGCCGTGGACATGGAGGCGAACAGAGCCACGTCGTCCGAGACGGCCCACCGCCCGGTGCGCTCGATGCGGACCGGCGAGGTGAGGGTACTGTCGAAATCGAAGAATACTGCGCGCATAAGCCTCCGGGGTCGCAATGGAGTGTCGCAGAGTCCTCGGGATCGCACAACACCGGGGACGGGACTGGCGCGCACTGGCGCACTAACACAGCGCCGCGAGGAAAAGAATTCAAGCTTCGCGAAACTCCCAGCCATTTTTTGGACGGCGCAGCCTCTAATGTACTAGAGCGGCTCTACGTAGGGTTCCAACTCTTGCCTGGGGAGGGACTACTAACTAACGGGCTGCACTGACACGCACCGCGTCCGCTTCGTCGAATCGCGAAAAGGCGAACCGCGTCTCGTATGGCGCCCCCAACTCGTACTGTGCTCCGACCCCCTCAATGGCGCCCTCCGCCATCGACGATGTCTTGAAGTGGCCCATCGAAGGGTACTCGTCCACCGCGCCGTGGCGGGGCATCATGGAGGAGTAGGACTGGCCGACGAGCCCGTGGGGCAAAGAGCGGGCTGCGGCATCGCCCTTCGCGCTAAAGCCAATATCCAGCCTGTGCTGCGGACCGCTGATGCGGTCGTAGACGTGGTTGCCGTGCACAGAGAAGCTCCAGTTGCGAAGGGTAAAGGTTGCGCTCGAATGGCCCATTGCCAGGGCAAAGTCAAAGCAACGCTTCGAGCCGCGCGCTCCGAATCTGAAGGCGCGACCGGCACACGTGCCGTTTATCACCCTCCAGCCCCAGTTCTCCTTGTTCAGCTCGCGCGCCCAGAAGGAGGCCGTCGCCAGCCTGTTGCGGCGCGGTCCAACACGAGCCACCAAATGGGTCTCCGTTATGAACGATCCGTCGACGGTCACTGAGCCGATCCGGAACGTGGCTTGCTCCGTCCGTATGTTCAAAGCCAAGCCGGGCGCCGAGAAGACGGAGTAGTAAGCGCCGTCACGCCCTCTAAAGTCGGCGCGTCCGCCGTGCGCAAAGATCAGGTGTGGATCTCTACCGGCCGTGGCAAGGGGTGGGGCAGGCGGATCCTCCCTCGGCGGTGCAAGGGTGTACCCTTTCACGTCGCTGCCGCTGCTGCCGTACGGGACTTGGACCGTGGTGGGGTTGGTGCCGGAGCCTAACGATCCGACGCGTGGATGAGTTGCCATGACCTGTCGAAATTGACTGTTCCCCAGCGTGCCGGTGTCTATACTGACAGTCCAGTCCCCAGGTGCAACGCGGAACTGATAGTAGCCGCTGACGTCTGTGGCCATCTCCAAAGTGGTGGTACCGCGCGACGCGGTCACAGACACGCCAACAAGGTACCTGTCGAAGCCGGGATCGTACGCTCCATTGCCAGCCACGTCGTGGAAGACCACCCCTTCGAGGTATGAAGGGATCGCAAACGCGTCAATGTTGACAGCTTCGTCGATCTGGGGCCGCAAGAAGCCATCTTGGTCGCTGCCGACGCCGCCATACGGCACAAACACTCTCGTAGGGTTATTTCCCAGCGTTTGCACCAGTCCGCTCTGGCTAAGGATGCTTGTCTGGATGGCGACGGTCCAATTTCCAGGGGTCACCTCCTGCGCGTAGCTTCCGTTGCTGTCCGTGGTGAGAACGACCGTCGTTGGCGCGCTGCTGCCGCTGCCGCTCGTGAGGTCTGGGACGCTCCTAACGATCACCGACACACCCGCGAGATTCGACTCGCTGGCGGCGCAAACTTCCACAGCCGTGGGGTTTGAGCCCAACGTTTGCTCCAACTGATCGTTGCCCAGCGTGCTTGTGACGATGGTGATCACCCATTTTCCCGCGGGAACTTCTTGGCGGTAGCGCCCAGCCGCATCCGTCACTGTGGAGTACTCAAGCCCGGCGTCCCCTGAGCTCAGGAGGACAGTTACGCCCTCAAGGTACGCGTCAAAACCGGCGTCGAACCTCTGGTTGTCGTTTTTGTCCTCAAAGATGGTGCCCCCCAACGCACAGCTCTTGCTCGACACCTCGTACAGCCTTCCGGTGAGATAGGAAGGCAAGTAGAAGGCGTCAACAAGAGTAGTGACACCGCACTTGGGTGACACAGTCGTGGGGTTGGCTCCGCGAGGCCGAAAGCTGTTGTTGCCCAATGTGCTGGTGTCAATCGTGACGGTCCACTGTCCAGCTTGCTCCAGATCCTGGCTGTAATAGCCGTTGGAGTCCGTCGTAACGCTTCGGTCGACTGCGCCGTTGCTGACATCGAGCGCGACGCCGGCCAGTTGCTCATCGGTGCTGGGATCATACGCGCCGTCGCCATTCCGGTCGTGGATCACAACTCCCTCCAGAAACGTCAGGCAAGGAGCAGATGGTGGTGGCAGCCGTGACGCTGCTTCGAACTCAGCCGCCGCCGGTGGAGCGGACGGCGGCGACGGCAGAATATCGCGGTTTCGTGGAGGCGGCGGCGGGAGCGGTAGGGAAGCTGATGGCGGTGGCGGCGCTGGTGGCGGCTCAGGTCTGGGAGAGAAGGGGGATGGTGGTGACGGCGGTGATGGCTCGGGGCTGAAGGGGAAGGGGGGTGGTGGAGGCGACGGTGGCGGTGGCAAAGGCGGCAATGCTGGCGGCGGCAGCGGGCTGAATGGCGGCGGTGGCGGTGGCGGCGGTGGCGGCGGCGACGGAGGCAACGGTGGCGGTGGGGCCGATGGTGACGGCGGCGGTGAGGATGGTGAGGATGGCGGGGGCGTTGGGGGTGGGAAGTAGGTAGCTTGGACATTATCAGGCAGTGCCGCAGTGACAGGGACAACAGCTCGGGCGGTTACAGTCATGCTGGTATTGGCGCCAGAGCAGGAGATGTTTTGTAACAGCACGTCGGTTGCATTAAGTAGGGCCTCAGTTTGCTCGACGGCAGGCTTCAATCGACCTCGCGACAACCATCGCCACAGCCACCATTTCTCGTCCATCGTGGTCACAGAGAGGGTGGCATCGGTACAGCTATCCTCGTCGTCGGGCGCATCAGTGGTCTGCAATTGACGAGCGCCTCGCAAAGGTCTGAACACAATCGAGAATGCTGGGCCGACAGCAGCTGGCAGTGGAGGCGTTGGAGGCAAGACTGGTACGGACAGTGGCGGCGGCGAGGGCGGCAACGGCGGTGGTAGGTTGGGCGGGGGCGATGGCGGTGGCGGCGACGGCGGCGGTGATGGCGGCGGCGGCGTGGGTGAAGGGGCGGGCACGGGGTCGAACGGAGGCGACGGCGGCGGACGAGGCGGCGGCGGCGGCGGTGGCAGAGGCGATGGTGGCGGCGACGGCGACAGCGACCGTCGCGGCGAGGCCGACGAGGCGGGTGGTGGCGGCGGCGGCGGCGAAGCAGGCGGCGGCGACAAGGGCAGTGGAGACGGTGGCGGGGCCCGCGAGGTCGACGGTGGCGGCGACGGCGATGGAGACGGTGGCGGTGATGGCGCAGCGGACGGCGGCGGCAGCGAGGGCACAGCGGGTGGTGGCGGCGGTGAGGGCAGAGGAGGCGATGGCGGCGACGGCGGCGGTGATGGCGGCGGCGGCGTGGGTGAAGGGGCGGGCACGGGGTCGAACGGAGGCGACGGCGGCGGACGAGCCGGCGGCGGCGGCGGTGGCAGAGGCGATGGTGGCGGCGACGGCGACGGCGACGGTCGCGGCGAGGGCAGGGGAGACGGTGGCGGGGACGGCGACGGTGATGATAAGGGCGGCGATGGCGGCGGCGGTGTGTACGGAGGCGGCGGCGGAAGGAATGAAGGGGGCTCAGGTGAAGCAGGCGACGACTGTGGCGATGGCGTCGGCGAGGTCGAGAGTGGGGGAGGGGCAGGCGTTGTAGATGCCACCGGAGGCGGCGGAACCTGCGAGGCCATGTAGTCAGCATAGCTCTGTGGCTTAAGCTGGGTCGTCACCGTGAGGCCGACGATTATCTCCACACCTCCATTGTCCGTGGCATTGTCAAGGAGTTGTGCGCCCGTCACGACGTCGTTGATGAGTTGAGAGAAGCAGTCGCTGGCGCTTCCAACGCACTCACTGCCTGTCACTGTCAACAGCGCGTTGAGCGGTGGCGGTGTCGGCGGCTGTGGAGGCACCAGCGGCGGCGGCGGCGGCGGCGGCGGCGGCGGCGGCGGCGGTGACGGCGAGGTGGAGGGCGGCGGTGGCGGCGGCGGCGGCGGCGGCGAGGTGGAGGGCGGCGGAGGGGTAGGCGGCGGCGGCGGCGGCGGCGGCAGCGGCGGCGGTGGTGACGGCGAAGCGGACGGCGGCGGTGGCGTGGGCGGCGGAGGGGTAGGCGGCGGCGGCGTTGGCGGCGGCGGCGTGGGCGAGGTGGAGGGCGGGGGCGGCGTGGGCGGCGGAGGGGCAGGCGGCGGCGGCGTGGGTGGCGGCGGCGTGGGCGAGGTGGAGGGCGGGGGCGGCGTGGGCGGCGGAGGGGCAGGCGGCGGCGGCGTGGGTGGCGGCGGCGTGGGCGAGGTGGAGGGCGGGGGCGGCGTGGGCGGTGGAGGGGCAGGCGGCGGCGGTGTTGGCGGCGGCGGCGTGGGCGAGGTGGAGGGCGGGGGCGGCGTGGGCGGCGGAGGGGCAGGCGGCGGCGGCGTTGGCGGCGGCGGCGTGGGCGAGGTGGAGGGTGGGGGCGGCGTGGGCCGCGGAGGGGCAGGCGGCGGCGGCGTTGGCGGCGGCGGCGTGGGCGAGGTGGAGG